AATGAATTTGTACTCAAAATGTATTTGCCTATAATTTTCATATGATGTGAGTTAATTTGAAGATAATGCCAATTAAACCTTCAGCCTCCTAAATGCTAAAATATGTGCTTTAAGTACATGCAACTGCTGTTTGGTAAATCCAGATCGTTGCTGAGGTATCTGAGTTGGTGGTCCAAGGAGTTTGACATGATTTCCTGAAGTCCCTTCATTTGGCCGGGGAACTATTCCTCCATTCCTTAATATAAGACTTATTTAACTAATTTGATTAGATTAATGAAGTTAGGTAAGCTAGTTAATTATAGGAAATGTGACACGTTTTTCTTAAAACACCATGATCATCTTTCTTAATACCTCCTCTCCCTCTTCTACTTGATTATGGTTGAGAGAGTATCCATAACGGTAATTTAGAGAAATTGATAAATATGAGAAATGGGTCTTACACTTAGGATCAAAATCAACTCAACAATTGGGTCTTATATTAAGGACCGGAGGAGTAGTAGTCTAAGCAGAAGATTGATATTCCTTCATGATTGAATTTACTTCATCCTTGCTCTGACTTTCTGAAGGCAAACTTTCGCCCAAGCTATCAATCTCGCCATCTCTCCTCGAGGCTTCTGCACGGTCATTATTTTCTACAGTGGAAGCTGACCCAAAACCAGAATCAACTATAAGAGAATGCCAATTCAAGTAAACCAAATGATAAATAAAGTCACGTCCAAGATAAGTTTTCTATAGGGAGATTCTTACTTGAGTGGAATGATAACAAAAACCCAAATAAGTGAAAAGCTTTGGCATTCAGAATGGCAAAAATCTTCCACTACCCCTTAAAGATATCAATTGAAGATATCACCATTTCAACTACTAGCAAAACGTGTCCAGCAGAGCTTCTTCTCATCATATTCATGGCGGGCACGAGGGGCTCTGGCAAGGAAAAAGTAGATGAGTCAAGGAACCAAGGAAGAAGGGGGATGAGTAGGGGAGAGAAAATCGAACCCGTAACTTTTGGCTTGCTGCTGTTTACCTAAGAAAGGAAGAGGAGACGGGTCAAAGAGAAGAGTGAAGAAAGATGAACTTAGGGCACAAAGGACTGTGAAAAGCAAAAGGGCATTTTTGTCTTTTAACTGACACTTCATAATTTCTATTTGGGATCGGATCTCTGACAGAAATTATATAAATTCAAAAACCCAAATCATAATTCTGTTTACTCGAAGGTCTTTATTTGTAATTTTTCCTTTAAATTTTAAAACCAGTCAAAATTATAGGATCAAATACTCAATTTTTCCTTTTTTATATTATATTACGCAACATGAGAATTAATATATTTTGTTGGGATAAGTGTCATTAAATGTCTGAAGGAGAATGTTTATATTAGCTTTTCAGAGAATAGGTTCCAGTTGGGGGGGGAGGACAAAAGTAATTTTCGAAAATAAATTTCAAGTAGAATACATTTTATTTAAAAAAAAAGTGACTGATAAATTAAGTGCTTAGATGGTTGATATCAAAATTATTTTTTTTCATATGCAAATTACTAAAAAAATATAAAAAAAATAAATAATGTATATATGCGGGACCGATTTATTATTTATCTAATTAACTAATAATTAATATGCATAAATATATTGATAGAACCTTGGTTTTCCACTCAAAAAGTAGGAAAAAAATTGGCTTTCATGAAAAACTATGATTTTAGCCTTGAAACTATAGTTTTAACATGGTTAATCAATTATTGGATGTTATGATGTGTTTAGATGGTTTTTTTTTTTCCCCAAGACTATAATTTTAAGAAATATCCAAACATCTTCTGATTCTATCATCACCAGAAATAAGTTTCACTTAAAAAATGTTCATAATTTGTGAGATATTGTAAGAGCATAGATCAAAGATCATAGCTGTTAGCTGAATTGTTTTTTTTAATTTATTTATCTGTGCTCACTATTTCGACACATCATTCTGACAACAAATAAAATCTAAATTCATTTAAAAAAGTTATGTCCACTAAAAATTAATCTTAAAAATCATGTTTTGCAAGCCTTACAAATTTAATCTTGCACTAAAATCAATTTCATGCCTTAATAAAAGCTTCGTTCAGATTCCCGATTGGAGGGTACGAAGTGGCTTTCGAAGGGCATAAACGTGTTTGATATTTTTTGAGCTATTTAAATTAGCCTTTACCCATCTTGTTCATGGGCTAAAAATTACTTTTTTAAGCATAATTGTAAAAATACTTGAAATCTGCATATGACTTATGTAAGAGTTAGTCCTGTTAGTAAGGATTAGCTCACAACCCACAAGGTTGTGAGTTTTAAATCCTGCTGTCGATATGAAGATATTGTTTGTGAGTAATTTGTACGTACTTCTATAAACGTTTTTCGAGTCTGAAGGCATATCTTGGTTTGGATAAAGCCTCAGGGTTCAATTCACTTAAACTTTTTTCGTATAAAATTTTTTTTAAATCAAAAAATTTTTTTCCTTTATATTTATGTTCCTAATACTTCATATTTCTTATACTTCCCAACCAGCTTTTAATTATTTATTTTTAAAGCTTTCTCAAATAAAAATAATTTTTAAATCTTTGTAATTTCTAATATTATTTTTCATTTCATATTTATATAAATTATGTAAAATATATTATCCAGTTAATTATATAACATTATTTAGTATCTTTTATTCATTAAATATAACTCAATAATTTAAAATTATTATACTGCGTAAATTTATAATTTTTTTATTATTTAATAAAAGTGCTACACTTTTTAATCATTTTACAACTAAACTTGCTTTTTAAATAATAATCCAAATAATTTCTACTTTTACAAATTTAAATAAAAGTAATCTAAAGATAAATCATATTATTCAATCTAACTTTTACCCAATTTTTTAAAATAATAAATAATTTAATAAATAACATTATTCACATTTTTTAATATCTAAAATTTTCCATTCTCTGAATTTTAATAATTTTTATTTTTTAGTGTTATTCACTTTAATACACATATTAAAATCAAGAAAAAACGAAAATAACCGTGAAAATTGGTAGCAGGTAGGAAATAATATGGAGAAAAATTAAAGCTATGAAGAATTTTATGAGTGCTGTTTTTTAATTTGATTTTTACTTTATTTTCATCCCGCCCTACGCCTATATTAAAATAATATGAAATCATTGTTGGTTTATGTGAAATTGATAAATTTTTACTTTTAATTCAATATCGTTAGACTATGAAATATGCTGTTGCGTAGCATGGGAGTTGATCCCAAAACATGGAGCATACGTAAAATATGATCAGAGGAAATTTATTTATAAAAAAATTAATAAATTAAATTAAATATAATACTATACAACATTAAAAATAAATTAATTTATCTATTCAATCATTTATTATGGCATTAATATCTGAGCTGTTTTGAGAGGCATGGCTATGCTAATTTGGGGGACATAACTGATTGGCAGTTGCACAGTACGTTCACCGTGCCAGTCTCAATCTCTCATTTCATTTTTTTCTAATAATCTTCTTATTGGATGAGTCCTATATTGACTTGGAATAAATGAAGTCTTCTCCATTTATTTCTCTTATCACTTTCAATTTTGGGCTTTTGATCTCAAAGGTCGTTGGGTCATAAGGCATTGCTGAATGGATAATGCAGTAGGCTGCTCACTTGGATGCCAAGCGGTCAGGCATCCTATGTAGTGTTATTGTTGAGTCTAATAAAAAAAATTAATTTCTCACAAGCTGTTAAATCAAAGTTTAAATTTTTGTTAAAAGAACTGTTTATATTTAGTGTTTAACAATATCTCAAACAGAAATATTTTAATAGGAGGATACTTGTGTTTATAAAAAAAAAAAAGCATCCTACATATTGCTTTACGTTAGGAAGTTTAAAAATCACAATTTGTCTTATTTTATTAGACGTACTATCTATCGTATTTTAGAATAGTTACCATCAAATTTTAATGATAGCTTTTAATATCTTTTTTAAAAAATTTTAATATATTAATCTCAACATATATAAAACTACTCTCTCCATTTCAATTCTATTTTTATTTTATATTTTTGGTCTTGTTTAAAAATGGTTGCTTTTAGAATTTTGAAGCTCTTGTAAAATAATAAATAATTAAATTAGTGCTTCTCATCTTAAAATTGATACTCTTCAACTAATTAAGCATGCGTCATTAGTATATTGCATCAATCATACTTCTCTTGTTCTATTTATAAATAACTTTCAAAATGTTTCGCACAGATCAAAAAAAACCTTAAACTTTATTAACTCTCATTCAAAATTTAACAATTTTCTAACGTTATTCCTATTTAATATACATTATATCTCATATACAAAAATCACTATAATAATAAATGAGGGATAAAATTATATATCCATACAAAAAATTTCTGTAAATGCCTTATAATAAGACCCAAAAAATCCTTTCTCTCTACTTTATAAATATGTCCAGAGGAGTAATTATGTGATGAACAATTGAATTAATGATGAGGTCTTTTCATGTAATGAGACAGAAATGTTTTCATCAAGACTTGTTCAGTTCACACAGACTGTGAGAGTGATTGAGCGCGAAAGCCACCTCAGTGCGTGGAGATGGCATGTTTGGTTGGTGGGAAATGTTCACTATTCATGTTGGGAATGGCAATGATTGTTACAATATTTTATCCACAAACAAGGGATGAAGTCACAAATAAAGAGACTAAACATTCTTACGATACATTCCAAAGTAGAAGGTATGATATAAATAATAAAGGGAAGGAGAAAATGGGTAATGGCGTACCTTGAATTTATTTTTCAGGTGTATTTCCAGTATTCTAATTTCATTTTCTCGATGCGTCTAGTATTTTGATGTGGTTTTTTTTGGTAGTTACATCTAACACCCTAATCTCTAGAGTAATTGATGCACTAAATATAAGATTAAGATGCTTAAAGAAACAAAAAAAGAAAAAGATTAGGATGTTTGATGCAACAAGAAAAAAAAAACAGATCAGGATGCTCTTGGCAAATAATATCATGGTACTACCCAATACACTTTTATCCAAAAAGAAGATTGAAGAAAGAATGTAGGAGCACAACCTCATTCTCTTTATCTCTTGTGGATATTATTCATAGGAATTGGGAACCAAAATGAGAACATGCATGATCAATAAATTCTCATCCACCTTCACCAAAAATGCCACTAAGAATGGGCTTAGAAGCATCTCCAGGCGATTTGGCTGCACTGCTAACTGTGCTCTTACTTGGGGACGAGTTATATTGACTTGTACCTGATGCTGATCCCTTTGTGGCCCACCCAGTGATGAAGCTGCTCACATCATCAAATTTCCAGTCTGTCAAGTATCCAGGCTTTGTAGTTACAGTGCTTACTTCGATATCTCCAGACAGCATTGCCACGATACGAGACATCGTCGGCCTTAACGATGGCGATGCTTGAGTGCACAGAAGAGATATCCCTATGATCCTTTTTACTTCTTCCTCGTTGAAATCTTTTAATAGTTTAGGATCCAACAGTCCAAGTATACAATTTTTCTCGTGCAGCTGCCAAGTCTGTCAACCCAAAAGTAATTGAAACTAGTTAAGCTAAGGCCCATAAACCATTAGAACAAAAAAGCAAAATTCTTTTTCCTTTAAGCTGTTGAGGATAGAGTTTTCAAAAAATGGAAGGCTGGGAATCAAATGATGTCCTTACTTGTTAGCTAGAGGTTGGACAAGATTCTCTATGTCAAGTGTCACTGCTAAAGAATATGGAATAAAGTGAAGGAAGGGTAATTTGACGATGAGAGCACATTAGAACTCTTACTAAATAAAGGGAGCAATTCACAATCCCCATCAAAGTGACTTAAGTATTACTCAATTGATATCAGAGGCATTTAGACATGTTGCACTTAGTTGTCCAGGAATGTTTCACAATAGAGCATGACAACTGAAAATGTGTCCAGAAACTGAATGGATCCTAATACTAAGAGGAAACAGAGAGGTAGTACTTACCCATTCAAGGAGATACATCTTCTCCCCTTCTAGGCTTGAATCAGAATTTGGCCTCCCACTAACTATCTCTAGGGCCAAAATGCCAAAGGAAAACACATCTACTTTCTCAGTAAGGTGCCCACGCATAGCATACTCAGGAGCAAGATATCCACTATTAAGATTTTATCAAAACAAAAATATGCAAGTATTAAAGTAAACAGCAAAAGGGAAAAAAACATGCATAAAATTTATCTAACCTAAAAGAACAAAAAGTCTTGATGACTTACATTGTCCCAGCCACACGAGTACTTATATGGGTCATTTTATCATCATATAATTTGGCCAAACCAAAATCAGATATTTTAGGGGTAAGCTCATGATCAAGCAGAATATTACTGGCCTTTACATCACGATGCACAATGCGGAGCCGAGACTCTTCATGAAGATAAGTTAAACCTCTAGCTACACCTATGCAGATATCATAGCGCGCAGGCCAGTTGAGATTTAAACAATTTCCTGTAGCATGCAAGTGACATCCATACTAAAAATGATAAACAACAAAAGTAAAGGCAACTAAGCATTGAGACACACAAGCACCTAAAACACAAGTAGCAGGAAAAGGTAACATCATACCAAATAATGCTTGATCAAGACTCTTGTTTTCTAGATATTCATAGACAAGTAGTCTTTTCTTTCCTTCAAGGCAACATCCATATAATTTAACAAGATTACGATGTTGCACAGCAGATATAGTTGCAATCTCAGCTATGAACTGGCTCTCTCCTTGATGAGATGCTATGGATAGTTGTTTCACAGCAATTATTGTTCCATCATTAATTGTTCCCTGATATAAAAAGGGAAAGCACTTATTCTGTTGAATAAAGGCCTGTGTTGTGCTCTGATATCATAAACAAAAACTTTTTTCTTTACCCTAACAAATCCCTATAAGTTTTTATTTATACAACCCTATAAATCCTATCAGAAACGTATATAATAAAGAGGCATATTACATTCAATTTATTGTCATCCCAAATCCTATCACAAAATATTCACCTTATAAACAGGTCCGAAACCTCCCTCTCCCAGTTTGTTTCCAGGATTGAAGTCACCTGTAGCATTCTTTAACTTAGAATAGCTGAAAGTGTATGGCTTTGTATCAATACCTAAAAGCTCTGCAAATTAAACACAAACAAGGTCATGAATAGAAAGAGAAACTGATAGGGTTTAATATGTTGCTATCCATATTTTCCAATAAATTTAGTAGATAGATTCGCACTACCAATTCACCAAGGGGGAAAAATTTTTGCACTACCATACCTACTTCGCCACAAATTAAAATGCAAGAGAAGAAATACGGTAATGGGAACTCTACACTTGAACTTTCAAGTTGAATTGAACTCATGTTTTTTTCAATCATATGGCTATGTTTAGCTGAAAACCCAAACAATGACGGAAAAACGCTTTCCTGAAAAACTGGCAAGTGTCATGTATTGGGGACAAACACAAATTAAGGTATGCCCAATCAGTTAATGGATTGCTGCATCAACAATCAATGACTACAATCTGAAATAATGTTCATGAAAATGAAAGATTACAATTTAAATATTCAAGTATATACAGCAGCTTTTTTACCTTCTGCAGCATTTCCTTGACGCTTTATTCTCTGGATGATATAGAAAACCACTAGAGCAGACAGTAAGCTTACGACTCCAACACCAACAACAACTCCCACAATCAGACCATTCCTATTCTTTGTGCTGTGTGGTAGTTTGTTACTGACTATGGGAATAAAATCTATTCAACCCATAACGAGACCATGTCAAGGTCATACATCAACATTTTTTATTTTGGTAAATTAATACCTAAACCTCTAGACTACTGAGTATTTCGTAGAGTTTTACCTGGGGTAGCGCTGATTGCTGAAATCAGAGGACCATAAGTCCCTTGAGCAGGTATGCAGCAAGTCCCTTTTCCTGCCCAAAAGAGATGGATCTCGACGAAGTTTTCTGTCACATTAACCCTAAAATCTTTCCGTACAGCTCTGAAAGAGACATTCCCAGCTTCCCTTTTTATGTCAAAATCCTTCAAAACATGTTTTCCCTGGAATGGGACAACAAAAACAAAACAAATGAAGGAGGAATAAATGGGGAAAAGGAAACAGTAGGGACATTCCCTGCTTCCCTTTTTATGTCAAAATCCTTCAAAACATGATCAAAGTTTGTATTTCTGAATATTCAAATATCTTCCTCTTATAAAAACCACCAAGATTCCTCCAAAATTAAAAAATATGATACATCATACATCACTTCCCCACACAAAAGAAAGAAGATAAAAATACATTAACTGATGATAAGCCAAGGGTCTAAGATTGCATGGTGGCACAATAATTTATGAATGGAGTCACTCTGGAACAAAAAATGTCATGCATCATTGCACAGACCATTTCAAAGCAAAAGTTTAAGCTGTTTTATGAATGTCCTGTTATTTCTTAGATTTATGGTGTGTTAGTTAAGAAAAATTTTAAATGAAGCATAACTTTTGTAATTTTTGTTTGAATATTATAAAATGGACAGACAAAACAAATAAGGTTAGATTTCTATACTTCTTATTGTAGATTTGCTCACCCTCCTCCAAATGTTATTCAAGAACATATGCTTTTTACACATGATGTTAGATTGTCGTTCATTACAAAAGTTCAAGATAAGAGAAGATGAGTCCAACTATGTGCATGCGACAAATATAGTTTATGTACAATTACTTTTAGTGGGCAAACTACGTTAAAACCAGTCAGCTAATGATCAGTGGGCAGGGCTTTCCCTACATATAATAATCCTTCAACTTGACCTAATGTGTAAATAGACAGATAGGGTGCTTCTCTTAGATAGTGACTCCCATTTATGTTGTTATGTTATAACATCTAGCATTTCCTTTAGATAAAATCATATGCACCTGGATATATATATCAAAGACCCGTCTTCCAAGACTTTTCCATGTAGCAGTTCTATCAAGAATAGATGTTTCAGCGAAATAAAGGGAAATGTTATAAGCCCCATTTTCCAGTCCTAGGCCATAATATCTTAATGAAGAAGCCGATAACCGTGCTGTCTCGTAGAGCTCTGAGTTCAAAGTACCAATGAACTGATTAGATACCCAACTTGTGTATGGAGCCTCGTATATCCCAGTAAAAACCCCAACATTGCTAACGGCCCATCTTGTTGTATCAGTTACAAAATAAGTTGCAGGACCAAGCACCGCATCATCTCTTTCATAAGAAATTCTTTTTGATAACGTAATTGGAGGACCGCCACACTTGATTGCAAAGTTATAATCTGAATAGAAACATTAACGAGGGCTATTTCAATCAATGAATAAAATAATTAGCTTGACCTTATAAACTTCAGATAGAGTTTGAAGGTTTCTTGCATGTTTTACAGAAGAGAAACAAACTTTCATGTGTCAATGAAGTCTAATAAATGTGATACTGAATTGGTATCTAGTAAATAAAATTTGGTCAACCAGTGATGTGAAAAATTATTTGTCATCCTTGAATGCATAGATTGTACCAAATATAAATCACTCCCTGAAGTCCTGCACACATCATATTAGCCCAAACTTGAAAAGGAGTTTCCGATTTGGATAAATGGAAGACTTGAAAAAGATATTTGCGGAGGTTTCAAGTCAATTAAAGAAAATATAATGATTTAGAAGTTTGTTTTATTAAAGTTTCAAAGGAGAAAATGTCTTGGCCTACATTTGATAATAATAGTGATACTATTCATAAAGGCTATGTGAGATTAATTTTCCCTTTGTGTTAACTAGACTAGATAGTTTACTTGAGAGATGCACAAAATATGATGAATGAAAAAGCGTTATTTATAACTTGTGAATATTACATTTTCCAATAGATTTTATAGCTGATATATTGATGCCAGCAATGGTAAACTAGAGTTAAACTTACATATTCCAGTACCACGATGACAAGGAAAATTTTGCTGCAAACATCTGAGTCCAGAATGAAGGCCACTGCAAGAGAAAAGTGCATTTATGTAAATATGTACATATTAAGGAAATTAACTTCAAATTTGTTTGATGAAAAGAAGCTCTTCAATGCCCCCGTTAGCATGACACTTCATGATTTCTCATTGTTTCCCTACATACTCATTCTCATCCCTCCTGCATATATCTATGTACAGTTTAATCGAATAAGCACAAGTATTCTAATCACCAGAATCTATAATATCCTAGGAATGGTATTTATATCACACATCCAAAAAGAAGGCCCTTGGGTAGCATGGATGAATAAAAGCCCACCATACCATGTGCTAAAATTATTTAATTAAAAAAAAAAGGCAGCTAGCAAGGGCTGAACTCTTGATTATTTCGTAATAAAGCCTAATAATAACTTTCATAGTATCTCTAACAATTTTATATACATACACAACCAGGATTGAGTAATAACAAAATCATGGCTTTCAGCAACTGGTTACTGGCTTTATGCTTGAAGAATAAATGTTTCAGATGGTAAAGAAGCTTATCAAAATCTTCAAAACAACATGCAGCCAACTTATATGACTCTTCATTCACAACAGCTAGTAAAAGGACAAATATGAATTGAGATAGAGTCACATTATTGTGCAAAAAGTAAAATATATCCAGTAAGTTTCAACTAGCCAAATGTGCCCGTGTTTTTGTGTGTCATCACATGATAAAAGGCATAAGTTTCACCTGCTATTTGAACCTTCTATTGTCAAGTTGTTAGCAACCAAATTTCTGTATTTGAAACAGCATAAAAATAACTCTGTTAATTTCACCATAATATATAAGCAAGAAAATATTTAAAATGTATATTAATTTATGCAGCATAGAAAGATGATGAGTCGATAACATGAAAGCATCAACTGAACTTTAATTTGCTTTAGCGTTGATAGTGAGACATGGCGATTTTAGGATGTTAGGTAAAAAAAAAATTGTGGAGCGAATGAAACTTACTATTACTATAAAGTTAACGAGGGTGGATACCAAAGGTATTATATGATAAAAAAATTACTAACCTAACTCGGATTTTTGCTTAACTATTACGTCTTTCAAATTGAAAATCTAATACACACAATCCACATTTCATCTCACATATTAGTAATGTAAAATTATGCCCGCACATGCACATATTAAATAGTCGCACGGTTTAGTGACTTTCTTTGCCTCATGCTAAATTCCCTTTATGTGTGCCATTATTTTGTTTTGATATCATGCTTTATTTTCAAGCATATATTTTCCTTATTTGGCAGCATTGCAATAACAAACCTTATTCTACTAAATGAGGTCAGCTACATGGATCATATAATGTCATTTTTTCCTATTAATAACCAGCTCTTCCACTATATCTTTTTATCAGCCTTCTTTGGACAAGACAATAAATAGTTTTCTACAATTCTCCTTGATAAAATTCATGAAAGGGGGCATAATTGATTTCAACATTTTTTTACAAATAAATAAGCATATTTACGAGAAAATATTATAGCATTTTGGGGTGGGGATCCCTACTTCCCCCAGCATGCGTGATTAGTTATTAGGCATATCTATTTTAACATCTTTATCTTTGCAACTCTAATTTTTTGCTCTTACCCCTTCAAACCCCAACGTCCATTACTATGTGACATCATTGATCTTATAAAAATTCAGTAAAACTACTGCTTAATCTTAGTCGGTGTGCAAGTGGGGAAGAAGATTTTATTTCTCGTATTTCTAAGTAGGAAGCATACAAAAATGTATACACCTAATGGTTTGAGCAAGGGACTTCTAAAACTATCAGAAAATGACAAAAAGGGGTGGAAAAAGATGAGAGAATAACAATATCAAGTTACTTACAGTTGTAAATTTGGTTGGTTTGCCCAATAGGGGAGATTCCCTAATAGATTGTTGTAGGACAAGTCTCTGTAAGCATTCATTGAAGTTGTTCAAGTAACTAACATATAGATGACAAATAATACATTGAACAAATAAGCCTTTAATTACAATTAGAGTAGTATCAGTAGCGTAAGTTTAAAATTGGCATGATTTCCACCAACTTCTATGCTCACAAGAGCCATGGTAATGAACCAGTAGTTCTTAATCTTATAGATATATGTATACAGAATTAGGATATTAGATTGCGGGTGCCCCGGAAGATACACAGCCACCCTCTAAGTATGAAAAAATAATAATGCTTGAATTTATAATTGTATCTGGGGTATAAGATCTGTCAATCATATGTAATAATATTCATACGGCTGCAGATAAATATATAAATAATATACACTATAACACTCCATTCTTAACGCATTACGATGCTGTAGAGTCCAAATATGTCAAGAATACTCACATATTGAGAAGATTTGGGCTTTTCAGACTAGGTATTGCACCACTGAGTTTGTTATTTCCAAGAAACCTGAAATTGGAAAAAGACAAATCATGCTTTAATCCAATATGAAAGCATGTTAGGAAATCCATAATTCAATTACTTAGGCACAGCATATATGTTACAAGTGTGTTAATAAATTCAGATTGAAAAGTGATCCTGGAATATGTCCTCTGATGTTATTGAAGCTCAGATCCCTGCAAGAATCAGTATATATAATTATCTGGATGAGGAACGCAAACACAACTCAAGACCTCCCCATTGAAAATACTACTAATGTGTATGAAAGATAAGTTGGACAGTTGACTCCAACCATTTTCTGCTACATAAAGCATAGATATTGCAGAGAATAAAAGAGAAGTGGATTGTGAAAAATTAGTGAAGAACCCTGGCTAACGCTGTAAATCTGGAGCCAGTTGCCAACAGCAAAGACATTGAGTTCTAATCACAAACCATTGGGCTTGATGAACATTTTCATTTGAATGAATTAGCAGTAAGGGCTGTCCTATAGTTAAGCAGCATAACCATAGTCCAAAAAGTATCTATTCATGGTGGAGATATCCGATGGAAACCATTATCTGATTTGCCTTTCTTTCTTTTTTTGTTTTGCCCTGGGGAACAAGTTGAAGAAAAATGATAGTCTGTGCTTCTTTTTTTTATTACATTATTGCCATAAGCCATTATTTGAGACCTTGGCTACATTCGAGCCACTGGAATCCCATGAAACCAGGGCATTAAGACAACTAATTTTTTTATGGAAGTGCAATATGATTAAGAAACACTGATTAAAAAAAACAGAGAGAACTAAGAAATGAGGTAATAGTTTGACTGGACCCCTTGAAATTCCACCTCTAATTTCGAGGGAAACAAGGCCAACTACTAGTATTGACTAGCTTATATCCCAACATAAATTAAGATATATGGATAGTTTATATATATCTGAAAAATTACATGAACATGAAATACTCACAGCTGGGTCAATTTTACAAATACACCGATATTGGATGGAATGGAATCAGAAATATTGTTATTTCTCAGTACTCTGCAAGATTTTTAACCAAATTGTTATGCAACATTCTAGGGAAAACAAAAGGAAGAGAAAATAGAGAGAAATGTATCTCTACAGCCTATGAATTATTAGTCGAGACGTTGCCTTCCAACTTACAAGACACTCAAAGACGTCATATTCCTTATAAATGCCAGTGAGGAGCTCCGTTTAGATAATTCGCTTATTCTCCTGCATTAGAATTATACTTAGCTCCCATCAGTCTGCAGAAATACATGCAATTAAATGCTTATGGTACTTACAACTCTGAAAGAGAAGTCAGATTGCTAAATGATGATGGTATTGAGCCTTCAAAGGAATTACCCTGAAACCTCCTATCAAAAAATACAGCAATTCTATTCAATGAGCACAAAATTCTAGAACAAAATATACCGAGCATCAAATTAAGTATTTATATTTCACATTTGAAAGAATTGTTTTGCACAAAAGTTTTTATAGGAAAAGATTTAACAACCTTTTATAAAGAAGAAAGGAGTTCATGGATGAGAAAAGAAATCAATCGTCAATCCATTAACACAAATAGTCATAGAGAAACCATATTTCAACTGGAGACATGCTAACTGGTTTCCCCCTTTATAAACCCATTAGGGGAAAAGCCTGAAATTGATCACAAGAAGACTGTAGAGTAATTATCTCCAAAGACCAGACAGTATATACTTCTAATTAAAGCTTCTCAAATTTCATTCTAATCAAAGTACTTGGTGTTTTTTTTCTTTTTCTTTTTTTTTGGTTTTTGCCTCTTGAGGGTTGGGGGTAGTATTGGTAATATTGTCTTACAGAGTTGTGAGCTTAGACCAATTTCCTATAAAGTCAGGTATCCTGCCCGTGAGTTCCATGTCTGAAGCCCATCTGGACAAACAGGAAAACTTTTATAAGTTATTCCATTTTTAATATTAAAACTATCATGTGACAAGTAAGGAAAAGTAACAAAATCTTACACTGTCACCAGGTTTTTAAGATTAGCAAAAGTGGGAGGAATCTGGCCACTGAGTCCTGAACTATCTATGTAGCTATATAGAAAATTTCATTGAAATTTATATCATCAACTGATCACCCAAAAATCAATAAACTGACATAATCCAAAGCAAAGTGAAGAATTAACTTTTTTGGCATATAAGGAGCCTCACTACACTAACATGAAACAGGATTGTCAAGAATTTTACCAAAAATAAATTGCTAATGCTACCATCAAATAAATTTGAAATGTTGTATATGAATTCTAGACATGGGAAGAAGGAGTCATTATTCTATTATTAAAAATAATATGATAAAATACATATTTGGGAAGCAAAATATAATGCAAGTTGTTTATGTCCATTAGTTTTACTATAACCTCTCAGACATGAATTCTTTGGTCATAAGTATTTCCAGAAAATTGACAGCAAACTAGATATATTCTATAGAATAATCAAACATGAATTAAACACAATCATGTCATCTCGAAGATTAAAATTTATGGAGTTGAGACAATGTATTTCTTGTAAGCCCATCATTAGAAATAGAATCTCATACTTCCCATGTGGGACTCTTTCAATTTGGTCGTAAAAAATAAAAAAAAACTATAGATGCAGAGTGCAGTGGAGCTTACATTTGCTCCAATTTCTCGAGTTTCCCTAGTTCAGATGGGATAGAACCATAGAAGTTGTTGGATCCAAGACCCCTGCAAAACCAACAACTAATTAATAGGATCGATGGTATCATATAAATACGTCTCAGAAAATCATAATTCTAATAAAACAGAATGGTCTTTAATTAATAATTATTCAATGTCCTTCATTATCAATTCCATACATCAAAAAGCCCATTCAAAACAAAAGAGAAAAGAGAAGAAATATCAATTCTGAATACTATGATACAATCAAAATACTGAGTAAGATTTCAAAGTCAATTAGATCACTTGCAACAACAAGTAAAATGCTTTATTTCACTAGGTGGAGTAAGTTACATGGATCTCATGATGTCATGGAATTCTACTAACAACTAAATCATTAGATAAATTGTTAACCAAGAAGTCATGCTCAATAATCTTATTGGGTGTTCTCTTTAGTCTTTCTCTACTTTTTTTCACAGGACTCCAAACTCCTTAATTTACCCTCCTTACTAGGGCATCCAATAACGTTCCTTGTACTTGTTCAAACCATTTCCAATAGTTTTCTACTGCTTTCTATTTAATAGATGCCAGTCCAACTCTTTCTCATCAATCATCATTAGAAATTTTTTTTTTTTTTACTGAATGGCACACATCCGTCCTAGCATCCTCTTCTCAACTACCTCCACTTTATGCTCATGTTGTCTCTTTAATACCCAACATTTACTCTCATAAAGCATTGCTAATGGAATAGCAATATGATAAAACTTTTTTTTATCTTGTTAGGTACTTTATAGTTATGAGTAATTTTGGTAGACCTTCTCTCCTTAAACCACCCAATTTGAATTCTGTGATTAACTTCTTTATCAATTTCATCCCCTTTATGCTCATGTTGTCTCTTTAATGACTAACATTGCTAATGGAATGGCAATATTATGAAACTTTCTTTTACCTTATTAGGTACTTTTTAATTATGAGTAATTTTGATAGACTTTCTCCACATAAACCAACCAATTTGACTTATGTTATTAACTTCTTTATCAATTACACCATTCTTTTGTAAAATTGATACTAGATATCTAAACTCTGCCACTTGTGATAAGATTTGATCTTCCATTTTAACCTCTAACACCTCCCAATCACTTCTAACTTTTTTCTCTTTCATTATTGAAAAAACGAAGAAACGAAATATAAAAAGAGAGGGTAAAGAGAATTGCTTCAAGGGGAAGTGGATGACTTACAATAATATTAACTCGGTAAGATTTCCCAATTCCTTGGGAAGCTCCCCTGATAAGGCATTGGTGCCGAAGCTCCTAATTAAGACGAATTTCTGATAAAGTGAGTTCCTGAGTATTTATCATAAGACACAACAAGCAAATCTAAATTCTCTACATGAAGATGGAAAAAATTAGTCATTCCGAATAAATCCTACCATCATATCAATCAGAACCTTTTTTTTTTCCCATTTAGAATGAAGAAAACTATTGCTAACATATTTGAACTATCCAAATCAACTGAGCAGTATAAATTTGTTCGAAATGACCATCTTTTTCCCAAAAGAAGTTGAGAGAATCCTCAATTAAAAGAAGCATTTGTAACTTCTAGCTAATCAGCCTTACAGGTATTGCATACGAGTGAGATTTCCAATGGCTAGAGGTAGAGAACCCGTCAAGTAATTCTGGTCGAGTTTCCTACTTGCAATTTGAGGAAACTTTAGCATGCTAGGAAAGACAGGAAAATTAACAAGAAAAAGAATCCATTGAATTAAAAAAAAAAAATCAAAATGCTTTGGAGGATTTTTTGCAAGAAATTTCAGTAAAACCCAGCGCGGAAAATTGAGGAGTTAAAAAGCATACAAATAGGTGAGGTGAGTCAGAGTCCATAGGTCTTTTGGGATTTCCCCAACAACATCCAATGCATAGACCATCCTGCCATAAAAAGTGCCAGAAACAGACGGGAACAGTGCAAGATCAATATCAACAATCCATATAATAGAGCAATCAATAAATCAAGCTCAGAGAAGATAGAGACTATACAGTGCAGTAATGTGGCAAATGCCATTGGAACAGTCACATTTGATAAATGGATTGAAGGCTTGGATATCGATAGCGCTGTCAATGGCTTGTCCGCTGCATACTTCACCACTTATATTCCATGCATCTTGTACTGCCGATATTCCCCATTTGTTGAAGATTGAATTCAAAGTTCTCGCTGCATAAATGTTCAAATTTTGAAGAAATTATTACGGGAGATACATTAGAATTTCCCGCTAGGTTTTCCACTCTTCCGAAGAGCACCGTGAAAAGAAAATCGAATCCCACCAATGAACTATTACTATTACTGTCAATCACAGACTCGTTAACTAACTAACTGACAAGCCACTGAGGAGTGAGAAAATGATTGGGTTGAGGATTATTTCTTTTCTGAAAAGTATCTAGGAAGAAGTTGCCGCCTCGTCGCATAACTGTTAAAAATAAAATAAAATTTGAAATTTGAAACTTCAAAAAGTTATGCAGTGGTTGATGCTCTACACGCCACTACATCTTAATCTTATCATGCGAACAAAGCACATAAAAATAAACTTCTTTTGTTTAATAATCAGGTTCAAACTAGATATTGTCAAGACACTACCATATTTTTATTTTTATTTTTTGCCTTTTTTAATCTTTAACTGAGAAACTACATCAGCCAAACAGCATTCTTCGTTTGAGTTGAATATAAAGAATTATTTATCAGCATCTGTGACATTTAATCCCATAAGAATACTCGATCATTTTGCAGGGAAAACTTTCTATACATCAGATCAACAAAGAGACGAGAGAGAGAGAGAGGCATAAATATGATACCTTCAGAAGGATCGGTAGTAATGTTCTGATCTTGTGAGGATACAGTAACCAAGCAGCTGAAGAACACACAAACAGCCGAAGCAATTGCTAAGGCCATCACTGGCCAAGAAGAAGAAGCAGCCATATGAAGCTGATCGATGATGCAAATGAAACTAAAAATGAATGTGTGTGCGTGTGTTCATGGGCCAATAAAAGTCTTTCGCTTTCTTCATTGACTACGGGCTATTGACTTGAAATAGAAGACAATGCACTGTCAATGTCCCCAAGAGGTCGCCGTCGTCTGCCTCAGGGGAACTCATAATAAAGTTGATGGCGAAGGCTTTAATTTGCCTTCCACTTTGACAATTCAAATGGCTTCCCTTCCACTTTCTTACTTCTAACATCAATCACATATCTTCTTAAATGTCAGGCACTACGTGAGATTACTCAAAACTAATTTTAATTAACTTTTTGATTCACATGATTTAGTCAAATATTTCTTATAAAAAGTGATGGAGAGAATAAAATTATAATAATTCGTACTATTAATCTTAACCTTCTCTGTGTGTGTGGTTATGGGTTGGATCAAAACTGCATGTGTAAGGTTTAACTTATTTAAATTTTCCTGTTGGCACAAAAAAAAACCTTATTTAAATTTTGATTGATGCTCGTGGCCATACATTATGGTATATAAAATATGAATTGTTGGGAAGGCTATTCCTTTTTAAGAATGATTGTTTGCCAATTAATGTTGTAAAATCCCATTGTAGTTTAATTAGCTTGTTTGCGACTTGTTTATCAGCTAGCTGTGGTGTATATTGTTCAGTCTATATTTTTCAACTTTAAAAACATTAGGATAGAGAATAAGCAAATTTTTCTTTTTTAAAAAAATTTCTTGCCGGCTGTGACATTAACCCATGTAGAAAGTTTATTTTCTACACTGGTTGGAGAGAATCTTTTTTATTTGCTATAAAAAAAAACAAGGCATTTTTACACGGTGTATGTATACTTTTGCCTTTTGAAAGTACTATAACAAAATTTCTATGTAAATTTTTTGCTTCAATATAATTAGAATTAATGATTATATCTTCATATCTTTTAAGAAAAGAAAGGAAAAGGAGACATTATATAGAAAGTTTGCTTGATAATTTACAATTTATCTTCAAAAATTTATGACTCAATTGTTTGATATGTATACATTTCAAAATTTGTAACTAATCTCCTACCAACTAAACATTTTTGTCCTTTTTTGTTCTTTTGATACCTCGCGATTTATGCGTCATTTTGCAAACTTGCGAAGTTCATCTATTGGGTACTATTCCGGTCAAAAAAAAAATCTTTTGGGTCTTCTTTCAATAACACGTGTCATCTTCCAATTATCAAAAGTTTCACCGTCAAGGGGATAGCTATAAATTCTATGATAAACATATGAGGAGACCAAGACCTGGTGAAAAAAAAAAAAGACCAGGACTAGGACCAAGACCAAGTCTCCCCTTTTTTAATTTTAATTTTCTTCTTATTTTTACTTTTGGGTTTTTGATCGGAAACAAGTACTCTTCCAGTCCTAAATATAAGATCTATTTTGTAGTATAAATGGGTCTTATATTTAAGACCAGAGGAATATAACAAAAGCCATAGAAGAACAATGTGCATCATTTACTTTAAAAATAACTATAATAAGCGAAAATCAGAGAGAATGACCCAGAAAAAAATATTTATTAAAAAATTTTTAAAACTTATAATTATTTATAAGGACAGAATAATAAAATATAAATTTAGAAATACTAAGTTATCCTAACTAAATTCCTGTGTTTTCTCTCATTATCAACTTCAATTGAATAGATTTTTCTATAACCTCTTTAATTTATACTAAAAATTTTATAATCTTTTTCGCATCAATATTTCCAATAAAATTTATCAAAATCACATCAAAATCATTTATTATTAAATCAAATTATCTTATATATCTATATCTAAATACACAATGAAATGAAATTACTAGCCTACATTAACACTGCATGTAACAGTTAATTTTTATCTTTGTCTTTTTTCGAGTTCCAATTGAAATTTTTTTGTCTTTACAAATATCCCTTTCTTCACTTTTTTATAAACTATTTTAATGTATATATTTTTTATAAATACATTTGAATTTAAATAAACATATTTTAGTTGGTTTGGTTAAATATAATTAAAAATTTTATAAATATTTTTATTAATTTCAATTTTTTAAAATAATAAATAATTTAATAAATAACATTAGTCACATTTTTTTATATCTAAAATTTTCCATTCTCTGAATTTTAATATTTTTTATTTTTTTTATTGTGATTCATTTTAATACACACGTTAAAATCAAGAAAAAACGAAAATAACCATGAAAATTGGTAGCAGATGGGGAATAATATGGAGAAAAATTAAAGCTATGAAAAATTTTATGAATGTTCTTGATTAATTTGATTTGTACCTTAATTTCATCCCGCCCTATGCCTCCCTTAAAATAATATGAAACCATTGTTGGTTTATGTGAAAGTGCTAAATTTTTACTTTTAATTCAATGCCGTTAAAATATGAAATATGATGTTTTGTATCATAGGAGTTGATCCCAAAACATGGAGCATACGTAAAATATGATCAGAGGAAATTTATTTATAAAAAATTAATAAATTAAATTAAATATAATACTATACAACATTAAAAATAAATTAATTTATCTATTCAATCATTTATTATGGCATTAATATCTGAGCTGTTTTGAGAGGCATGGCTATGCTAATTTGGGGAACATAACTGATTGGCAGTTGCACAGTACGTCCACCGTGCCAGTCTCAATCTTTCATTTCATTTTTTCTAATAATCTTATTATTGGATGAGTCCTACATTGACTTGGAATAAATGAAGTCTTCTCCGTTAATTTCTCTTATCACTTTGAATTTTGGGCTTTTGGTCTCAAAGGTCGTTGGGTCATAAGGCATTGCACCCCGCAATATTCAAATATATTTTATAAATATATTTGAATTTAAATAACAAGTCCTAAAAGAATTGACATCATGATGAGAATAAAACAACATAAGAAAAAAAATCATATTCGTATTTTAAAAGTATTTAAAGAAGATCAAGTAATATTTATTACAATTAAGTAATTCATCTAATTTTTTTAAATTTAGCCAATTTAATGAAGTAATTTTTGATATTTAAATACAGGAGGAAGATCTCATTGTATCCTATTCAAGTTGCGTACACAAAGTTGTCCGCTGTGCCCTGCCCATTTCCATGCTTGCTTGACTAAGGCGTATTGAAAACAAAGAAAGTTTCACTAATCATCTCTACAAAATCTCTTCCTTTTAAGGAAATATATTGTGCCATTAAATTAAGAAGTTATTGACTTGTCTGGAACCCTAGGTCTGCATGGTTTGTTGGAATCACATCTCAAATTATTGAAATAAAAAGAAAAAGAGTAAAAAGGCATCTAATATCATGATGTTATTTTTTACACACATCTAACACCATATAATCTCATTTAGGGTTCATTTAGTGCTCTTCTGATCCTTAATGTATGACCTAATTATGGAGTTGATTTTGGTTTTAAATGTAAGACTTATTTTTCATATTTATCATTTTTTTAAATTACTCTTATTGACACTTTCTCATCTATAATCAAGAAGAAGAGGGAATTATGGAGGATATTAAAGAAGATGATTAGGGTATTCTAAATTAGTTAGATAGGTGCTATGCAGCCATCAATTGCATTTAAGTTTTTGTGGCCGAAGAACATCTTCCTATGATAGAATTACCTCCTTAAGCACCAAACTTCCACAACATGTTCTGCTTCTCCTTTCCTTGTTCAAAGTTCAAACCATCAATTCTAGTTAACAGTTGTCCCTAGCGTTTACGCACAAGTCCTCAGTCTTCCTTGGTCCACTTGATTACTACTGGTAGCAAATGAATCTATCAACATTTTCTTTCCAACCGTCCTCCTTACTCCAGGACTCCACGTTTCCCTGATAAATAAATCATTCAAAACCATAATGGATCAGGGGACCCATGATGTCACAAACCGATCGAAAAGGACATCAAACATCCGTTATTATTGTAATAGTTTGGTCCATTGAGAAAGCAATTGTTTTGATTAGAGAGCAGTAAATTTTTTCTACGTAAATGTCGCTGTTCACCTATGAATTAACGTTTCAAGTTCTATAAAATTAGAATAAGTTGAGTTTGTCATTGAGAAGATTCCATGCTAATTATTTTAGCATCTTATATCTAAATATCACAAACTTCAATAATAACATGGATTCTTAAAAATAATTTCGAGTCAACATACAAATTCTTGGACATACTATTGATTCTTACAATAATTACGACTTAACATTCAAATTCTTTAATATGCTTTTCGTTTAGTCAATATAAAGGGAGCATGAATTAATATTCCAAGTGATTATAAATCAAGTTCGGTTGGGAGGTTATCACGGTCAATCTCTTCGGCCTCTGGCTCTTGGTAAAAATATTTCCATTTCCTTAAATGAAAATTTAGTCCAATCATTTACCATGTATTTACTATCCACACCATTTATTGAATATTGAAACACTTAAGACAATTTTTTTTGTCCAAAAAATACTTAAGACAGTTAATTGTGTGATTTTTAATTATTGACAAAATTGTAACTAGTTTAAAATATTAAAATTATTATAAATTTTACAGAAATTTGATAGATATATTATTATACAAATAATGAAAAATAAAAATATATTTCAATCACTCGTAACTATTCTATATTTTGATGGTCAAACTTATAAATATGGGTAGTTAATAAATTTGAAACTTAAAAAAAAAAAAGAGTTAATTCAGAAGCCATCTGAATGTCAATTTTTAAGGGGAAAAAGACACTCAAACACCCTCAAAAATACTAAATAACAAATGAGAGTATCTGAATTTCAAAATACCAATTCAAACCCAAGGTACTTTTTTGGGAATTTTTAAATCTTGTAAAATTACACAAATATCCTTTACTATTTTTTTATCATTTTTTAAATACTGCCACCTCAGCAATTCTTGCCGCCAGAGTTCAGACGCTGACGACCCTGTCGATGACCAACCATAGGAGCTCTGGCAACCAACCATCGGAACTCCGGTGACCTGTCACCGGAGCTCCGTTGACTACTCTTTCTTATGTATTAACTACTTTTTTTTAGCTA